GTGGCTACGGGATTGAAGTGCTCGAATCCTCCTACTAAATCTACTGTACCAGAGGAAGATGAGACTGGTGGCGAAGAGATAGATGAATATGTTGGTGATGAGGGAGATAGCCCAAACGAATCTCCTTATTGGTCAGATTGTTTGAAAATGAGGATGAGATTACTCCAAAGCAAATATGTAAGAAACTCATATCGAAGAAGGTCGCCGCAATGGAAAGAATCAAGCTCTCGTGTTTATTACTAGTCGACATTATCCCGTTAGCGACAAGTGCTGATGGTAAGCGTTTCGGCTTTTTGCAGTTAACTATGTCGTAATTTTACAAGTTGATGCAACTAAGTGTAGTTAGCTATTTGTTCTCTTTTTCAGGTAAGATTATTGACTCCCATGTTAGGATGATTCGGGACTTCGATGTGTTTCTACAGCACCCATGGGGAAGAGAATGTTTCGCATTCACAATGAAGAGTATAAAAGCCAAAGAAGTTGCTGATATGGGTCAGAAATCGATGGCAATTCGAGGTTTCATTCATGGTTTGCAGCTTGTTGCATTGACTTGTATACCTGAGATAACCTCTTATGCAGCAACTGAGAAAAACACTAAACAAATGGAAGTGATCGATTTTGAAGATGAATCAGACGATGAAGAAACAAAGAAACCACTAAGATCGTTATAAGATTGGCTAAAGAGCTAGATGAAGACAAACCGGTAAATATTTTCTTTTCTTTTCTGATTATGGTTTTCCAATAGTTAACTAGATAAAGATCAGTCATTCTTTGTAGTCAACTGCAGTGTCGTAATAGTTGACTATGTGCTAAAAATGGTTAACTATTTAATTCACCAGAATATGTTTTTGTTTCAGGTAAACGTCGCATATACTTTACCTGCGGAAGGTCTCGAAGGAGAAGATTTTACATGGCCTAACAAGAAGGATGATGCCAAAGTTTTGCATATGATAGATCTTGTCAACCAAAATCATATATTCACAAAAGCTTCTTGGTCTGGCAGATCTGATGCAACAACGTTGTCTCTAGAGAAGAAGGATAATGTCAATGCAAAGAAGGGTAAAAATAAGTGTGATGCAGCAGATGTGAGCCCTGGTAGAAATAGAAAAACAAAGGGAAAGAACTTAGAGAATGACAAGGGTCAAATATCAGAGAATATCACTCATCTTACTATGGCTGATGTCCAAGATCTTATTGACAACCCAACAGGTATCTTGTCTTGTTTTTTCTTTAGATGTTACCTAGATATATTGAAATTAGTTAAAATGATTTACTGTATTGCAGTTGTTTACTATAACAAGTTGCTGGAGGAGCTCAAAGAGTTTGACGCCAAATTCACTTGTTTACTGCAAAATCAAGATGGGGCTATTAAGAATGAATTAAGAGATATGTCTCACAAGCTAAATGGCCTATCCGAGCAAATTGTTGTATTGAAGTCTCAACAATCTACCGTCTTTGTTGTCTCTGTTGCTAAAGACATTTTAGCTACGACTAAAAAGTCTTCAGATCAGTCCACAACAATGGTAATCCCACCCTTAATCATTTTAGTTAACTATTTCTAAGGGTTTACACATTATTTTTCTGTTATAGTATACTTGTTTTTCTTGTAAGGCACCTAGGGCTAAGGGTACTACTTCTTCTTCTCTCGGGAAGGCGACTGACGATCTCCATGAGCCCGAGAAACGTTTTCCATCATCTTTACAACCAGCAAATTCACGATCATAAATAAGTATATCCACAACCATTACTACATATACACATATAGTCAACTAATATGCACAGTAGGTTAGTTAATATAGTTCACTATTTTCTACCTATCTGAGAATATGACTGATGCTGATCTGCAGGAGACGACTACCAATCCCCATGTGATCGAGAAAAATGTGGCACCATCTTCCCAACCAGATAAATCACTATCAGAAGTAAGTTAATCCACAACGCTTACAATACATACACATATGTGTGTTAAGGAATATTGCAGCGCGATTAACTTACTCATATCAGCGCATTGTTGTTTATTGCATATACATATTCATTTATTCCAGCTCTCTGTTAATATAAATGTTCGTATTGTCTCCAGAAACTTGTTACACAGAATATTATGGGTGTAGTAACTGAAGTACTTGGCAAGGAAGGAGCAGCTGACGATGCCCATGCTAACGATGCCAATGGTAACGATGCACAACCAAAAGTAAGATTATCTCTATGGCAATATATTATGTTAAATATTTAGGTTCTTCTCATTTTATTTTAGCTATTTACGCATGGCGGCATCAGATATAACCCTATCTATGATTCCCTTCATTGTAGGAAAATTTGAGAGTTTCATTCGCACCGCCACATTCTCCTTTGGACTTATGCAGGAAGGAGTTTCTCTTCCCAAAGCTGCAGCAAAACAATCAACTACTAACTCAGGCGACTCATAAGGAACTTAACTACGAAACAAATATCAAAAAGCAAGCTGCCACAGGTCCAGCCATCCATAACAATTCCACCTGCTAAACAACCTAAGAGAAGCTTAATTTTGTTTACTCGCCAAACCCCTCTCCCTAAAGTAGATGACTCGGTGTTTGAGATGCTTCTCAAGGCTTTAGAAACAACAAGGTTAGTTCAAATAGTTAACTATTTACGTTCGAGTAGTTAACTATTTGACATTCGCATAGTTGACTATTAATAAAATTTGAACTTGATATAGTTGACTATTTTACGTTCGCATAGGAGACGATTTCTAAAGGTCTATATGAATAGTTATCTATTTACATTTGAATAGTTGACTATTTCTGAAATTTAATCAGGACCGTCAAAGTTGGGAAATCTGTGCAGCTTTGAAGCTTTGTTTCCTGGAGTTATGGAAACAAGAGAAGCGTTTATCAAACACTGTATGCCAACTATTTTCCCTCTACAGTTATCCATTATATTTTCAAATGTTGGAACTAAGGATTGTTTTGCTGTAACATTTTGAAAACAGTTGATGGATAATCTACTATTCTTTGTTCGAGAACGTTTTTTCGAGGAGTTTAAAGCAAGATCAACTAAGCCTATTCAGTTCATGGAGATAGAGTTTGGAGTGGAAGTCTCAAAAATGCACCCAAAGTTTAATAATAAAAGTTACAAGATTCCCAAAAAGATTTCAAAATATGTTTCGAGGGACCGCCAATGGCACACAGATGTTGAGCTGCTCTACGGCCCATATATCATACATGGTAACTGGGTTTGCCTTTGCATCGACTTACCTTCCCATGAAATTACGGTACTCCTACCAGACCCTACAGAATATGCCATCAAAGAAGTTGAGAAGGAGCTACTATCTCTTGCTTCCTCGTTACTGTTTCTCATAACGAACTGCGCCACCAACGCTGAAATGGAAGCAGACATAGCTACACCGCTCACAATCACCATCTATGCGGGCGAATGGGAAATCAAATGCACATATAAAGAATCTTTCATCAGATGCGATTAACACTACCATAGTGATAATTAGCTTCTTCAGTTAACTAATTTTATCGAAGTTCTTCTAAATTGCTAACTATATTTTCAATTTCTATATACTGGAACTTAGTTAACGACCTTGTGATTTATCTGACTTATTAATTACCTAAATGCAGGTTCGCATGGCATCACAACTATTTTGCTACTTGAACTACATGCATCTACTTCACTTACTAGTTCAGCAAACCTCGAGGAAGCAAGTGTCATAGATGCTGGGAAGAACTATGCCGTTAAGATTTTCAAAAAATTTAATTTCCCTCTCCCATTAAGTATTTGTTAGGTTGTTTAGGTACTTCTGGCTTCAAACTTTTGATTTTTTTTCATGAAGCTTTTCAGGATTATGGGTTGTAAACATAAGTTTCACGATTCTCAGCCCTATTTCAGTTTTAAAGGATTACCTACTCTGATAACTTACAGATTTGAAGTAATGGAGCAACTTGGTTTCAAGTTATCGATGTTGAGCAGTAACATTCCTTTGCTTAGTTAACTAGAATTATCATATTTCTTCGGAATAGCTAACTATAATTTTTAGTTTTATTAACTTAACTATATTTGTAAACATACTTTCTGATTCAACTAATGTACACATATCTCCTTATTAAATTTACTTATTAATTACCTAAATGCAGGTTTGCATAGCATAACAACTATATTTTACGTTGGCAGATTACTAACTTTCCTACACAATTTATTCGTTCCAGTTTCGTAATGTAAGAGTCAGATTCTAAGCATTACAGTATGCAAAACATAGATGAAATATCATCCAAACAATGTTATAATAACCTATACAGATACTTTCCATAATTCTGGAAAATATATCTAACTATCCTTCATATAGTGTACAATAATGACTTCAGTGTAAAATACAAAATATCATGAAACTAACTTTGAATTCAAAACCAACAAAATTCATTGATTTCATCCACCTAGTAACACAGATGGCTACAAGTGACCACAAAAAATAAAAGCACAACTACTTCAAACTCACATTCAAGTATATGACTTGAAACTTTATTACTCTACCGGTAAAGCAAAAAACGAAACAGAAGAAAAGTAGTCATCCTTGCAACCTCCATAACAGCAATAAATACTCCACCTAAAGCCCCAACACATGCTCCCTAATAGGCATCTTGCATGAAGCCTTGTTGTGTCCTCTGCGAAGGCATCTTGTGCACAACCGTGCTCCTTTCTTTGACTTACACTTTATAGCATTTAGAAATTATAACAACTACAACATCAGTTAACCATTTATATATCTTATTACGCAAATTATAGTTCACTATTAAACATGTCAATTACGCACTGTAGTTCACTAATATAGTTAACAATATTATCTAATATTGCTAGTTGACTATTCCAAACAACCAAAATCGAAGATTA